ATGTATATTCCTTATTGGCTATAAACATAGTTATTAATAAATTAACAATTATACACAGACATTACATATAGGGTCAATTTGAAATGTTGCCTAATGGAAAACATTACATTATTCCCTACCAGCAAAATGTAGGCTGTAACCTTAGTTTACCATTAACTTGAAAGCTGCGTTTTTCAATTTGATTAGCCCCAGTTCAGTGTGACAATGTCCAAGTGCCATTAGGATCACTGAGGCAGTAATTACCTAGTTCAATAACATGATCGTATCGTGCAGCGAGCATCTGTCCAATGACCTGACATATGGCGCCGGTAGATAACAATGGTTCTGACGCAACTCAGGATAACGTTTCTCATTTACCTAGTCTCTTTATTTGGGGAAGGTTGGCTACCTCTAATTACATATTGTTGGGCTCATGTTTATAGCACGTCCTGGCACTGGCTTACGACAGGGAGAATGCCATGCCTCTCTCACGTAGCGACGCTGACTTGGGTGGCTGATAGTTGCCGGGGGGCTTTGTTATTGCTTTGATTAACATAATTGGAGTGACTCCAAAAATTATAAATCGAATAGTGTCCGCAGGGTTAATGAATTAAACTGAACGTATGTACATAGACAGCAGGTGGCCTTTGCCCGATCACGAGTATGTCACAGTTTTCTTTGTGTTGTTGCAAGATGACAGCTGTATGACGAGGCACTCAGGAAGTGATCTAGACATACCAGTGATTGATATCATGAGCAGCGGTCCACGCCGTTAGGACACGATGACACACGACACACGAATAAACCAAATCACTAATCCTGTTCACCAATTTCATACGATCGCCTCATGCGAGAATCGTTTGGCACGGGGTGTGTTTCTTTCCAAACCGGGGTCGTTAGGGGGTTGGTGGGCATCTGTAGGCTCTAACGGGTACCTTGTGACGTAAAATTTTAACCTCACTCACTCTAACACTACGGACACACTGGCGTCACTTCATAATAATCAGTGTTTGCACGTGGAGTTGCCATACCCAGAGTACGACGCATGTCACAAGTTCTAATTGTCACAAACCTACTACAGTGTAAATAAGCCTTAGTTTTACGCCGCACTCAGCAATATTCCAGCTATATGACGGCGGGGTGGGGTAGCCTAGTGGTTAAGGCCTACGCTCGTCACGCCGAGCACCCGGGTTCGATTCCCCACATGGGTACAGTGTGTGAAGCCCCATCTCTGGTGCCTCCCCCCCTCCCTCCCTCACGGTACATAATTGAGTCTGGACCAGACAATCCAGTGAACAACAAATGAGGTGTAGCAACCGGGTGTACGGTGTGACCTGAACGTTCTAGTACAACCCCTGGTCTTCGTTGTATGGTGTGAAATCAGGGTGAAAAATCATTTGAACTTTGTACCCCAGGTCAAAGCGTTGCACATTTTGAATCGAGGAATAGTTCCCTAATTTCTTTACATACACCTTATATGTGGAACCTTCCACCACAAAGTATGTTTTACAATTCTCTATTCACACATGGACATGCATTGCCGTGCGCCATTCTCACGAGTAGTTAGGGTTTCGTGTGAACACGTTTAGCACTGACGTCGTGAGGGTGTCGCTTCACAACTGCTGTCTGTTGCCCCTATCTAGATATACACTGGCAAGTAGCATAATTCAAACATTAAAATATTTGCACTTTTGTTAGTTTTACAATGGTGCACTCAGCAGAACTTCTGCTGAAAGATTGCGGTCTGTCAATAAATGACTCTGGACCAGACAATCAAGTGATTAATATCATGAGCATCAATCCACTCAGTGGAGATACGATGACATGTATCAAACTACGTCAGTCAGCCTGACCACCCGCTCTAGATATCCGCTTTCTACAAACATGCTTTGCTGAAGAGTGAGTGAATGAGTTTGGTTTTACGCCACTTTTAGCAATATTACAGCAATATCACGGCGGGGGACACCAGAAATGGGCTTCACGCATTGTATCCATGTTGGGAATGGAACTCGGGTCTTCAGCGTGATGGGCGGACGCTTTAACCATTAGGCTACTCCACCGCCCCGTTTGCTGAAGAGCTATTCTAACCCGGATCTTCTCTGTTCATATTTGACTGTAACTTCAAGAAGAATCATCTTCAATATGTCTTTCTGCAAGTTTTAGTCCAGTATAAGAGGCTCACCGACCTTGAGCTGGCAGCTTCTGAAGCATACACGATGAATACTGGCATTTCCTGTTCCCCGAACCCGTCTCACGATGTCCGACCACCTCAGCTGCACGTGCATGCTATTTACTCGAGAGGCTTTGTCTATTACAATGAAATCCTTGTGTTGGTATTTCCTCAGCTGAATTGATCGACTTGAATTGATATCCCTAAATACAGCTAGTCAATTACTATAATGGTTCTGTGGCTGGACTTTCGAATTTAAGCTTGTTGTATGACTTTGTGGCCAATTATTTGTTGGCCGTAACTTGAATATTTAAATACATGTCAATTATCTTCATATAATTATTATAAGCACATTTATATTTGTTATTGTGAAATAGATTACCTTGATGTCACGGGGTCTCCTGTGTAATGTACATCAGTGGTGTCAATATCAAAGGTCACGAATAAGGCCCGACACTTGTCAAACAGAATTGTTTGCGAGGAAAGGTTACATTGGTTAATTTCATATTGTCTGTTGTGACATACGCAGTTCTGTTTTGGAAAAGCAAAGCTTTGAGATATCAATTAAGGAATGACAACATTTAAAGGTTACTAACCGCGTAATGAGGGGGTCAAATTATCGACCATAAGCTTGAATGCCAGTAGTTGAATACAAAGGATGTCGCTACTCTCCAGAGATCACTTACCGGTCTGAGGGGGTGCCGTATACAGATTGCACGTGTAGTCGGGCACTGGTACAATGGAATAGTGGGGTGGGGGTGTAGGGTGGGAAGAACTTTGAAGGAAATGAAAATAGCAGGGAGAGATTGTTCATGTTGAAGCTCATTGCAACTTTATATGTGTACCTTCTGGTTACATATCTGAGTGAGTGAGTTTAGTTTTACGCCGCACTCAGCAATACTCCAGCTATATGGCGGGCTTATATATCTGTTTATATGTCTTCATTTTGGTGTCTATCTATTTACACGTGTACTTTCTATTTACACGTGTACTTTCTGGTTAAATATTTGTTACATGTGTACGTTCTGGTTGAATATCTGTTTATACGTGTTCTTTTTGGTTTCTATCTATTTACACGTGTACTTTCTGGTTAAATATTTGTTACATGTGTACGTTCTGGTTTCATATATGTATTACAGGTATAATTTTCTGGATATATATCTGGTTACATGTGTACTTTCTGGATATATATCTGGTAGTATTTGTTTTTACTGGATTTATTGCATCATTTAGAGCCAACAGTTGCAGTGGTCAGGTTATATTACGCCACTGTGTATGAATATGTATATCGCCATTAGAGCTAAAATATGACACTAAGTTGGTATGGTTCGTTCCTTCTGCAATGACATTGACTTGTCTGCCTTAGTATTACCAGTCACAACTGATTATATATGGTATTGATTACAGCACTGAGTCATGTAAACATTGTTCCAACCTGATTAAGCCATGACTTAGATATATACTCGAGGGAATATCCCTGCTACTGAAGGCCGCCCTACGCGGTGATGTTTATGAAGATGCAGACTGGCATGGCGACACAGCAGCTACTCGGCGTGAAGCAGCAGGACGCTCAACAGCAGCTGACGCCATGCTTTATTATTCTGCGTTTCTATTGAATATCTACTTTGAATACCTACATTGCACATACGTTGTCAGCCAAACAGTACTTAAATCGAAGGAACAAAACGTTGGATCACGTGACAAGGAGGAGTGGTTGGTGCATTATCATTGAAGGAAAGATTGGCGTAAGCATCGATAGTTTTGCTGTAATACTATCAATACGACACATTACATATATGACTTACTTTGTGTGACTATTAAACGGGTTATGGCCTCTAAGAAACATTTAATGACTTTAGACGTCAACGTATGACGGGCTTGGTGGGGTGATGTTTCGGTAGCCTGAAAACAAAATGGCCACCGGATTTCTACAGATTGAATAAGCAACGGCGCCATGTCAGTCAAATCCCCGATTACATAAAGTTAATCTTGAATTTACGTATGTTATGAATTTACATAATGTCGGTGACGTGGGTGATATGTCCACGGCGATCTGCCAGTTAGGAGAGACTGAAACTGACCTGATGGAGTTGCTACAATTTTTCACATGTTCAATCTATTAAGCAAATAGGAGTGGATGTGCGAGAACACCGTGCGAGAACACCGTGCGAGAACACCACCCCTACTGGTTTCCCTACAGCAGTAACAGGACTAGCACTGACAGAAAGTAAATGCAATTATCTCGGTATGTGGGCCAAATGATATGATTATACTGACCTAATCTTAACATTCAACTGTCTAATTTCCTCAGTCTCTCGGTGGATTAAATGTAATGTTTCTTATTATCAATTCCTGTACGCGACATTAATGACACCTGTTAGAATAGCACATACACAGCCTAGTGAAACTGATGAACCTTCAGATGAACATTTTCTCAAAACTGATAAACATTCATCAATCTAATTACTTTCGCCATACCTTACAATATCTTAACCAGATTGGAAAACAATCTGTGAACAAACTCAAACAACGATGCAGCAATGTTTGGTGTTGAAATGATGCTGTGAATGTATGTTTAGTCTGTGGAGAGGAAACATGAAATGTTTGTATATTAATAAACAAACTGCATAATCCAATGTACTACACTGTCCAATCTCTGACTATTCAAGCACCATGTAAAAGAAACTGGTCAGAAGATGGGAAAGTTCTACCACCAGAAACTGCACATTTGTAACCGTCTGAAAATCAATGATGAAAGATTGGTGAAAAATATACTCACATTTTCTTGTCCATATAGGAATATTTTTCATCGAACCACACAAATTTTTCACATGCATATTTAAAAGGATATCCCCATTCAATGATGATCTTGGCATATTTTCTGATAAAGTTCTCCTCACTAAAAATGAAGAGCGAACGATTGCTTGACGCAGCCATTCCTGGGAGACTCAAGTGAGCGGCGCGTCTAGAAAGATGTCCTAGGGATCCGTCATAGGGACCTGAATAGTCTCCATCATCACCGTGGCCGCTGTTGGCTTGAAATGTTGCCATCCTACAACACAAAACACAATATGAAACACTGAGAGCAGACGAGATGAGTTCGTCTCCATTAGAGAAAGATGTGTTTGTCCCTCGTAGACGGGTCTAATCTGAACAGCGACTGAGATCTCATGTCTCTGTATGCGGTAACGTTAGACAGTTCTTTGATTGTTGCTGTTAAATCACAATAAATCCTCAGAAACTTGAGTCAGTTTGTTAAAATCCGGTAAGAAGCGCCCGTACGACAGAGCATATACACGCCAAACAACGACAGCAAGGTATGCCCCACATTGTTCGTGCCACAGCCAATGCAATGGCCTAACCACTTGTCGCCACGAGCGGAATAATTGCTATTTAAAGCCACACATCCAATGTCCTATTCTGCAGTCACCGTCACTCGACGGGAGAATTCCGACTGGAACAAGTGTCAGCTAGGAAGAGATGTCGTCTGCTACTTGCTTCGACTAGGTTGGTGGGTCTGGTCGCTACCATTCTCTCCCCGCCACACTTTGAACCCGCTCCATGGATAATTAATGACCCTATTGTTAAAATATATATTGACAACTGTGGCAAATATCCGTCGAACCAATCAGACTGTGTCGACTAAAGTGTATTATTTGAAGCCTTGAAAATTTAACAATCTGACGTCATCGGTTAAGTTTGGACATAAGATGATCAGCTGATGGTCGTTGGGAAAGGGTGCATACATAACTGCTAAACTATGCTAATGAGTCCTGCTCTCTCACAACCAACTAGCAACGCCCCCGGCACGAGATTTCATTGAAAAATCTTCACGGATCAATTCCCCGGCCAACCATGTCCACGTTTAGCAGTGAGATCTGCGCAATATTTATGTATTCTTGTGTCGTCTGCTAAATTCAATTGCATCGTGTGCCCTGTTCGCTCTCTCTTCTCCGCGCACTCATTTTGTCTTCAGCCATCTCCACTCGAATATTGATTTTCTCCTGCTGGACTGTAGGAGTCTACTGGTAGAGGGAAATCGCACACAATTTGAACCTATTTTACCCCGAATCGATAAAGCAGTAATTTAAACTAACCCAGAAGGCCTGTGCTCCGCACCGCCATGCACGAACCGGTCAGCTTCAACCAAGAATGGCCTAACCGGAAGCCGCCATTTTGACACTGACTTGGTTGCTTACACAGAAACAATCGTTTGAGTTGGAGCGGCCTGTGTTCCACAAGCTATGTGCATCAGACTGTTATCTATCTATCGATTCAAAACATCTCGACATTGGTGCCGTCTCTTTCCATGTTTGAATGAACTATATTTAGAAACTCTAAGTGCACATTAGGTCAAAGTAATAGTTTGATTTGTTAGTGTTCAGTTTGACCCAGATCTGGAAGATCAGTACATGAAGAATCGCACTTGCCATCTTTATCAGAATTCCGCCTGGTTCATTGGTTGTGGACAGCTCTACAGGGCACACATGAATACCCAACTCACAACTGGACTTAAAATGCCTGATGCAACCAAACATGGGCTACGTGGGAAAACTGACCTAGTCAATTCGATGAACTAATTGTGACACGTCATTGGGTAGCAAACTAAAATCTGAATACCATAAAAAACCAAGTTAATCCACCGAGTACTAAACTGATCTTCACAGGGACCAATTCATGTCATCTGTCTTCATATATAAAATATTGTTGTTATTGCCGAGCATGAGTGAAGAGTTTGATCCATCACCTTCACTCCAGATGGCGGGTACGCCATCTACTGCAGCTGTAAACAACAGCTGTGCAGCAGCCGAGGGCCCAACATGACGCACGGGCCTGTCTCTAATTAACGTTGAATATACGTTATCTGGTTGAACATAGTTTTTACCGCCAAACAACACCTGATGCATGTTTTGGGACCGGTGCATCGGTGACAGGTGATTTAACTAACGTGACAGGTATGGAGGTGTTAGGTAACCGGTACCTTGATGGCATTAGATCAGCGAGTATGTGGGTGAAACGGCCCCACACCATGCATCCCGAAACGGGATAGGTCTGCCGACACACCAACCGTCAAAGACGACCTTAAAAACATCTAACAGAAGAAGAAGAAACGGTGTACAATATTTCGGTGTTCATCAGTTGTTGAAAGTGAGGTATCACGATACAGAAAATAAAGAGGTAGTGACATAAGTAACCTGATCTTACACTACAAAAAATAAGCGGTATTTCGGGAGTGACAAAGGTAACCCGATTTTACACTACAGAAAATAAGCGGTATTTCGGGACTTACACTACAGAAAATAAGCGGTATTTCGGGAGGGAGTGACAAAGGTAACCCGATTTTACACTACAGAAAATAAGCGGTATTTCGGGAGTGACAAAGGTAACCCGATTTTACACTACAGAAAATAAGCGGTATTTCGGGAGTGACAAAGGTAACCTGATCTTACACTACAGAAAATAAGCGCTATTTCGGGAGTGACAAAGGTAACCCGATTTTACACCTATATAACCTATTTTAACCTATATTTGTATCCGTCATCTCCACGGGTAGCTAGTCATTAGTACAATAGGGATATTTACAGGCATCATCTTCTCAAGGCTTGCTTGGCATTCTTTTCTTATCATTAGGCAACATTCTGAAGAAAACCGCAAAGCCGTCGTGAATAATTAAGTGTGCCCAGCGTGTTAATTTCAGCCAATACAGCACAGCGGTCGTCGGTTGGTGTTGCAGAGAATCACACCGTCATGTCGATTACAGTAAGATCACATCTGGAAGCTTGTCGATAACAGAATGAAATATACACCAGCCTTCAGATGGTCTCCCTACAAAGTGTTATAAACACAGCAAAGCAACTAGAGACACGCGGCATCACAATATCAATTTCTAACGAAACTCTTTCTCCGAAACTGGGGTATACTGTGAGTGTAGTTTGTAGGTAAATCCTTAAAACCAGAACCAACTGCAAGCTTACTCGTGGCATCAGAGTTAAAACATCACAAACACACTTCTATCTTTCAAAAGAAGCATTCTAAAATATAGAAAACTGGGTAATATGAAATGATCATTTAATCCCATTTGAACAGAAATAACAAACAGGCAGCATGGCTGTTGCCAGTAGGCTGGACGTTGTTCGGTAACTATCCCCATATTCCTTGGTTACGTTCACCTATAACAATGTAAACATCAAAACTTCCACACGTCTTGGTAATTTAAAGAGAGTCTTCCATCTACTCTCAGCGCCACCGGGGCGGTGGGGTATCTCAGTGGTTAAAGCGTTGGCTCGTCACTCTGAAGACCCGGGTACGATCCCCCACATGGGTACAATGTGTGAAGCCCATTTCTGGTGTCCCCCGCCGTGATATTGTTAAAAGCGGCGTAAAACTAAACTCACTCAGTCTCAGTCTCATATACATGAGTAATTGAACCAGTGAGTGTATTTTTCAATGAAGCATTACTACTTTCTTAAGAATTCCGTTATGAAGCAGCTCTAAAGTTTGAAACATACGTCACCCCGCACCTGTAGTATAACCGTGAACATGTTGACATATTCTAAAACTTTTACAGTAGCAAACAAGCAGAAATAATAACATTATTGCATATTCTTGTTGAAGACAGAAGATGGCCCTCTAACTAATCCGTCCTCAACATCAAGGCAGTTAACACATCGCTGGAAGAAATGATGTACGAGCTGATAAGAAACTTTGAGAGTTCATCAAACCTCAAAATGTGCTTGAATAATTAAACATTGAATTCTTATCGTCAGAATAAGTACCAATCAAAGGAACGACAGGCTGCCTTGGACTACCCGGTGAATAATATAGGGGTTTAGAGACTAATGTCGTATTGGCGGTCCAAGATCATCAGATTATATTTAAGTTATTCATAAGATACGAGATTGAGCCAGTGCAAACGGTGGATGGTACTATGCCAGGACTACTATACTATTGAGTTCGTACTGTTTGATGCATTAAATACCGTCATGAGTATAATGAATATTCAGTTGAGGTTCATCATGCTGCGAGGGCTGCTGACGGTAATGGCTCCAGTGCTGTATCCGTACTTGGATGCCATGGGACTCAGCTACACCTACTCTAGAGTGAGTGAGTGATTATGGTTTCACGCTGCTATTAGCAATATTCCAGCAATACCACGGCGGGGGACACCAGAAATGGGCTTCACACATTGTACCCATCTGGGGAATCGAACCCGGGTCTTCGGAGTGACGAGCGAACGCTTTAACCACTAGGCTACCCCATCGCCCTACAGTGCATGGCGGGAAATATGGATGCAACCTTGTTAAACTGAGAAATAGGTTTCATACGGGGAATTGTAGACACAACCTTCTATCACTGAGATATAGGATTTATACGGGGAATTTCAGATACAACCTTCTATCACTAAGAAATAGGCTGCATACTGGGAACTTTAGATACAACCTTCTATTACTAAGAAATAAACTGCACACGTGGGATTTTAGATGCAATCTTCGATCACTGAGAAATAAACTTCATACGGGGAATTTTAGATAAAACCTCTTTCACTGAGCAATAGACTTCATACTGGGAATTTCAGATACAACCTCTTTCACTGAGCAATAGGCTTCATACGGGGAATTTTAGATACAATGTTCTTTCATTGAGAAATACGCTTCATACGGGGAATTTTAGATACAACCTCTTTCACTGAGCAATAGGCTTCATACGGGGAATTTTAGATACTATCTTCTATCACTGAGAAATAGGCTTTATACGGAGAATTTTAGATACAATCTTCTATCATTGAGAAATAGACTTCATACGGGGAATTCAAGATAAAACCTTCTATCACTGAGAAATAGACTGCACACGTGGAATTTTAGATACAGAGGGGTTTGATATTTCTGTCCATTTTGCTTGATTGAACATATGTCACCAGGTCGCCAGACTCGGATCGAAATTCCCTTAAACGTCACCCCATGAGAGTCAAATGCTAAGTGAAACAATTCTCCACTTGGACCATGCCCTTTAAACGATGAGATGAAACGAGTATATCTAAATGAACTTTAGTGC